AGGACAAATTTGCAAAGGTAGCAGGGGTATTGTGGTCCATTCATAGAAGGAATGACAGATTATAATATAGCCAATGATTGGATAATGGTACCAAATATATTTTCTTATTGGGGTAGGAATTTTACTCAAGGACTACTATATATACACTACTATAGATTGTTTTAGGTTTTGAGCCTCTTTGAAAACCCCAAGGCAACCAACATTGTGTGAGACTTGAGAGCTAAGAATGAACAAAGTTTTTTTAGAGTGTTCTTAATGATCTAAGCTCGATTTGAACTCAGGAATGTGTAGAAAGTGAACACAAGTGTAGTATATACAATGGAAGCCTTTTGCTGTCAGTTTTCTAGTGTAAAAGCCTGGTTTGGAGGTTTAAATTTGGTTTGAGCAAGCTGTGGTGCTGAGACAAGGTTGAGGCAAGTGTAACTTATCATTTTACATCTGTAGAAAGCATGTTTGTGACCATTATATTGCTGAATTTGATTTTGGTGTCTCAAACCTTAATATTAACTTGAGTTTTCTAGTTTAGCCTTCTGATTTGAATATATACATATGATATATTGTTGTGAGTTTAATTCTTATCATTTGAGTATGCTTATATATGTGATTTGAGGCTATGCAACTTGAGTTTTGGCCAGAAAAGTGACCATAACAGTTATTGGCCTTCTGAACCCTCAAAAGCTAGGGTTTCAGTTGTGATAAGTGGTGTGGTCCTAGGTGTATGCAATAAAAGAGTGTGTGTAGAACGGCCACCACATTTAGAAATTTATAAAAACCGCTTAACACTTATACTATATAGTATGAAGTGAGAAAGGACCGTCCCAAGGGATTTGCAAGCGTATTTTGGAATTAAATTCGGATTACTAGGTCAAAAGATCAAAAAAGTGGTTTGGTTGGTTGAATTAATGTACATGATAAGTGGTCGCTTGCATATGCCAAAATGTGTATGTGATAGTGCATGCAATTCTAGAAAGCCTTTTTGGTCAAGTTTAAATTTTTAAAAACCACTACCACCACTACTACTAATATAGCAAGAGTGAGTAGGGATCGTCCCAAGGGATTTGCATGATCAAAGAGGGGTTTGGTTGGTTGAATTAAGCTAGTGATTCAATTAAAAGCATGCAAACTAAAATCAATCTAGAGATTAAGGTATAGAGAATGAGAGGGCAGTCTTGGGGTCTAGAGAAATGCACAATTGCAATCATAAGCATGGACCATCAAATATAAGCATGGATTGTTCTATTTAGGTATTGAAAGTAATTACTTTACCATTATACTAAGACATGAAATTAAACTAATGGAACTAATGGCGAAGAACAATCCATTAAACATAAGCATAACCCATCAAATTAATCACAATAGTAGACAATAAAGTGTCATGCATGACCATCACTAAATCCACAATTCCAACACATATAAACATGCATCAAATCTAGAGAACCTAGTGTAGAGACATAATCATCCATTTCATCACACATAGACATGTAAATAAACTTAGAAGATTAATTGGAAGCATTAAACCATACAAATCACAAGATTTATTTAATCACAAGGTCAATACATTATTTACAATAAGAATCCCCAAAAATAACAAAGGTCTAGAGTTTAAAGGGCAAGGCTAGGGCTACTTCTAGCCCCAAGAGGATGATCTAGCCACTCATGGTTGTTGTCTTCCAACCCTCAAGGGCTCTCCTCATGGTTGAATTCATCTTCCTACTCTTGGTCTTCTTGGTAGAAACCCTAGAGATGGAGAGAGAATTTCCCAAAATGTGCGTATCTCTTGCCAAAAATCCCAACTAACCAACGTCCCTATAAAAAATAGCCAATTTTCTTATATAGGTAGCTTAAATGACACCCCAAATGGTCAGACCTCATGCACTAGGACCTCCAATTGATTGCACCATGAGCACCCTTCAATCGGGTTTGAATTCTGTTCTGCACGAATTTTGAGGCAGTTAAATCGGTCACACTGTTGCTTCAATCGATTGAAGTATGGCGGCACATTTATTTGGATAAGGATAAAGGCTAAGATATTTATGAGGAAAAGGATAAAAGTGGTTATAAGGATAAGATCAAAAACTTCGATCGATCAAAGAAAGATTAGATCCATCGAAAAGGAAATTTTCTTGAGGATAAGGACAAAAGCTCGATCCATCATGGTAGGTTTGGAACGATGACAGTATGATCGATCATAGCAAAGTTCGATCGATTGAACATGGACAATTTTCATCTTTTTGCTTCCACTTTGCTCCATCTTTCCACTAGACTTTGGATTGTCCTCTCCAATGCTCTAATTCAGCAGATTTAACTCTTTTTAGCTATAAGCACCTGAAAAGGGGAAAAACGTAAAATAAGACTAAAGCGGGAAAATAAGATAGAATAAGGTCCTAAAATACTCAAAATCAAGGATTTAAATGCACATTTTTCAGTGCTTATCACACCCCTAAACTTAAATATTGCTAGTCCCTAGCAATGAACTACTAAAAAAAAAAAAAAAAAAGAAAAAGAAATGAACAACTGTATAAGTATGAACTAGAAACCGATAAAAGGAAAACGCCACTTTCGTAGGGAACACGGTCGCATTTAGCATATGCAACTAGCCTTTTAAACCGTAGGTTACCCCTAGTAGACGAGTGAAGTCTCGTGAGGGTTTTTAGAAATGATACCCACAAACATTAAGCTCTTTCTCACTTAAGAGGCACCAACATTCTAAACAAGCATTGAAAGAAAACTACCTCAAGTATGCCATTTTTCAACCATCTCTAAGCAATTTGCTAAAATTTCAACAACAATCAAGCAAATATGGTCCTCCACACATCAAGTAAGATGATCATATAAATCAAAACAACTATAGCATCCTTTTGAGTGAATCGGCATCAAATATGTTGCTATCTTAGCAAATCAATGAAATGGGCACAGCCAGTCTCAAGCAAACACACAAATCTAGTACTGATCATCAAGACAAAGAATGAACCTTTTACTATGATTTATTTGACTAGGTGCACTTATTCTTTTCACTCGATTTTTTATTTTTATTTATTTATTTATTTTTAAGGATTAAAGATGGAAGCATGATAAAATGTAGTAATCTTTTAAGCTTTCTAGAAGATCCATGAGGCGAGCGTTAGGTCAATGACTCCCAAACTAGACGACTTTAAGGCATTAGGTGTAGAGACACCCCTAATGACTTACAAGCTCAAATCAACTAGACTACAAATCAAAATAACCTCCATCTAATCATTTCCCATTCCCCACCTTTGATAAGAAGTCCTCACTTTTTTTTTTCAATATATATATATATATATATATATATATATATATATATATTAAAACCTAGAGTTCGGGCCCTCCACCTTTCGGTGCGAGAATTCAATGCTTGAAAAGGCTATAATCCCGGCTACTTAGTGAAAAGGGTTTATTATTCATCTTGTCAAGAATGAAAGCTTTCAAAGCAATACTAGCTCAATTGGGATATAACCAAATCAATAATCAACTAAGCATGTACCGCACAAATGAATGCTAGTGTGCGCCTATGCAAGTGTAGAACTCTAGAGTCGAATCTCAAAACAATCTCATAAATAAGATAATGTGGACCACAAAACCAAACATGATATCAATCTTTCAAAAAAAAAAAAAAAATTGCTCCTAGATGGCATCCAAAAGGCATACAAAGAGTATTGAACTCTTAAGTAAAGCAAATTTTAAATTCTAAGGGATATATGCCTCAAAAGATCAAAATTATCACTAATTATAGACCGAACAATAAATCTCTCAAATGCACAAGTCATGTTCAAAATCTTGAATTGAATGTAAAGAACACACATTACCCCCAAACTTAAACCGCGCATTGTCCTCAATGTGCAATGAGAACAAAGGAGAGAGGAAAGAGTATACCAGTGTAGCTATAGCGAGATTAAGGACACGGGGATCCGAAGTGGGTGGTATAACCCCCCAAACTTGGGATCAACTATGGTCTTGAAAAGATGACACTGGGATAAAACCTCATAAAATAACAAATGGGACAAGTAATGGTGCACAGTGGGTAGACAAATGCAAGTGTGAGAATAACTGAGAGAGGATGGTAGAAATGGTCCTAAAAAATGGATATTGGACTCTCTCAAAGAAGTCACTAGAATGTACCTAATATCGGAGTCAACATGAATAGATATATATATTAGAATATGAACAAAATCCAAAATATCCCCAAAATTAATAGTATAAAGTACATCACAAAATATCAGGCCAACAGATTGGTCACAAAAATGGAATAAAAGTATCATAAGTAACAGTCAAAAGTCACAGATATATATGAGAGAGAGAGAGAGAGAGAGATAGGGCGGATGACGATGGTTTGGCAGGGCATGAACCCCGGATCTGTCTAGATATATCTATCATCGATGCCCGTAGCTTATCACATAGGATACCTATACCCTCCTGTAGTGTGGTCATGACATCCGTACTGAGAGTAGCCATATCAGCATGGAGCGTGAAGATTGAGTCCTGAATAGTAGCAACTCTATCCTGCAATGCCTGATAGCGCTCCTCTAGCATGTCAGACTGAGTCTGTATGTTAAGAATGACTGGGTCATCCGACTCTGCAATCTCAAGTCAACACTAGACTGCTACTCGTCTCAGCTCTGGGAGTGATGGCTCTGATAGTCCTAAGGCTGGGACTGTAATCCAACTGGGGGATCATCCTGTAAGTCAATACCACTACCCTCTACTGCTGCCTCCTTTGCCGTTACTGCTACCTCATCTGCTATGCTCTTTATTAGAATATTGTAGCTCTTCTTCCAGTCTTCCCATTTGTAATGGCAAGATCCAACCTCAGCCCTTTCACGTGTATCGAATGGATAGTACTGATCTCTGAGGAGCTGGGTGATAAGGTGAGCATATGGAAGAAACTTGGCCCGCTTGGGGTTTGCCTTGCTAATGTACTCATCATATAACTTCATCATAATGCTTTAGATGAACGTAGGAACTGAAACCAATTCCCTGCGTGGATGGCATATAAAGCTGTAAGGAAGTCTGCCCGTCGCTGGGTCTTGTGCCTATATATATGGATATTTCGGTACAAGACTGAATCAAAGAACCACATATGCTCTAGGAGGCGAGTCCGAGTGGCAAAAGTATCTGTGGCTGTAGTAATGCCACATAGAGCTGTGGCCATGTCTGCATATGATGGCCTTTGTAGATTCGGGTAATCAACCCCGGGAAGACAAGTGTGAGGGCAGTATGACACAGTCGCCAAAGTCTTAACCGTGATAATAATGGTTGCCCATCAATGGTAGTCTACAACTCAGCCAAGTTACTCGGACTCGGCTTTAGGTTCTGGTAGAATAGCTTAACTAGTCTTGCGTACACAGGCGCTGCCACAGGAAATAGAATGGGAGAGAGGCACCGATGTAAAATCTCATCATATGACCGCTTGGTCTGGCTGTGGTCAGAGAAGGCATCCTCGTAGAAAATAGACTCATGTGCCACACTCAAGCATGCAAACTTGCTGGTGACCCTGTCACGGATGACAATAAGGCTAGTAGGATGTACATGTGGTATAGAAGGAGGAGCTGGCTCTAGAGTTGGAACTGGCTCGGGAGGAACCTACTCTAAAGATAAAGCTGAAGGCTCAGGTGGATCCTGGACTGGCTCCTCAATCCTAGGTCTAACTCAGCAACCGTGGACCCGATTGGCCATGGTTTTGTACCTAGTCATGGCCTGCAAAATGAGAGTATACTTGCATTTTAGTAATAGGAAATGAGATAAGATTGGAAGTATAATTAAAAGCATCATGTTTATCAAATAAAGATAGACAAATCAAGTCTGAAATACAGCACAAAGCAAATATAACAGCAATAAATACATGAATTTATCTATCTAAGTTGATACGCAAGCCAAACTTAGATAGTTATCGAGCAAGGAGTATGCTTGGGCAAAATCAACATAATGTGAAACATGCTAGATACAACAAGTATAAAATGCATCTAATGTGGAAAACACAGGCATTGGGCATGAATGAGATAGCATGGAACACGGGGTAAGGGAAAGGGACATACATTTGCAAAACAGTGAAGTTCGATCGATCATAAAAAATTGAGATTGATCTGACTTGGATCAATCATGAATGGTATTGGATCGATCGTACTCTGATCGATCAGAGCACTGGTGTGATCGATCGAACCTGCTGAAAAATGAAAAGTCACCAGTTCGTGATGTGGAAGACACAGGGTGAAGGCAAATGGTCACTTGAAGGCTCGTGACCCCCTATACACCTCAAAATAGCAAGATTAGTCACTTAAAACGGCATGTGACCCCCGATTTATATTTGGAAACAAAAACAATATATACATAAATATACACATGTTCAAAATCGAAAATGAAAATATGGAATCATATATATACATATCTAACATATTAAAACTAAAATCAAAACAAAACGAAACATAAAATGAAAAGGAAAAGGAATAAACCTATAATGACCCTGTCATTTTCCTTCCCTTTTTTTTTTTTTTTTTCCCTGTTTTTATAGATAAATTTTTTCCATTGATGTTTTCCTTTCTGAGTCTGATTTTTGAACCTTCAGATCATCATGAGTGCTCGGAAATAGTTTTTGACACTTATTCTTTCGGGGTATTGTCCTTGTGAAGACCGTGCCGTCTCCTCTTTTCTTTTTCGGACATTTTCCCTTTTCGTCTTTTTCCCGTTTGTCACTTCTTTCGTGTAACCTCACTTTTGGTGCTCGAATTTGACTCTAGACTTCACGTACCATCATTTTAGTTGGTTTTGAGGAAATACTCTTGGTCCTAAGTTCCTTAAGCATTGTTTGCCTCTTTAATGTCAAAAAGCTAAGTGGCAGTGGCTTCAAAGGGTTTCTTCATTGTCAAAGTTGCATGAAATAAGCTCAAGGATAGTATGGTCATGTTCTATTCAGTGTCTTATCCCTCATTGCTGTTTTAATGGTTTCATCACAACTCATCTATCTGTTCTTGCTTAATTTGCTAAAAATTGTGTGGATTCAGTTCATGTAATCTGCCACAAATGGTTCCAGGGGTAGCATTGTCATTTCTCGGTTGTATTCAACATGTACACGTATGTTTTGGATGCTGCCTTGCACTGGATTGACCTGAGTGAATCAGCATTGTCACTAATACAGTTTCAGGATTTTTCTTAGCCAAGAAGTTAAAAATCTGTTGCACGGGTACTTTGGTCATTTCTTACTATGCTCAGTAGTGTGACACGTTTTAGTGGTCCTAAATTGAGTGAATATGCAAGAATATTGCATTTCTTGGTGGCTAAGTCTAGAGCTGAATGGAGTATGCTGCAATGTGTTGTGTATGTGTCAATTTCAGTTTGCATAGAGACAAATTTGCTAAGGTGGCCTTCTGCTATTGGTGCTTGCTCTTGAAAATATCTGCATTATGCCTTTCCAATGATTGCCTTGAGGTGACAGGTGTATTCTGTGGGTGTATGAAGATCTGTGCACTTTGTTTGTTCGTATATATGTTGTTATAGCCTTTTTTAGGGTTCAAGTCTAATGTGTAAGAAGTGACATTGAGCTGCAGCCTGAATTAACTCGAGAGCCTTGGTAAAACTAGTTTTTCTGAAGTTTTTAAAGATGATTTAAGCTAGAAAAACTCACTGATTCGAGCTATGTGATAGTTATAGCAGAGATGATGTTGCTGTTGCTATTTTTCACTGCTGCAAAGGCTGGACTGAGTATTGGATTTTAGTTCTGAGGTGCTGAGGTCTTTTCAGAGAGTTGACACAGGTATTAATCACCTTTTTACACTTGCTCAGCACTGAATTAGTGTTGAAATCATGCAGAAATCAAAAATGGTCATTGAGCTCATCTGTTTTACTTAATTTTTTGAGATTTTCATGGATTCAAGTACTGATTGATTATGCCTTGCTATATGATAAGATTTTAATCCTCTAGCAAGTGTATTTTGATGAATCTTGTATGTTGAAGTTGGCTTTGTGATAGAAAACTAGTCTGCTGCAAATTTCAGTTCTCAACCCTTTGTCATAAACTGTGTTTTTGCTGAAACAAGGGTGGTATTGGTTCTATATGCTTAACTCGTGCTGCACTTTAGTGATTAATTGTCATTAACATGAGTACCACAGTAAATGAAGACTGAGTATGATACTATTGAATGAATCTCGTGAGGAAATTCCTATTTTACCCCTCAAGATCTAAATGCTGAAAATTGATGTCATGAAGTGGTAACTTGGCATTTTGTGTTGTCAGCCTTATTTCAATTGAAGAAGGAACTTGTGTTTGTTGTTTTACATTTACTATGATGTATTTGGTGAGCTTAGAGAGCTTGTTTGGTCCTGCCAGGGTTGCCTAGGTAGGGGGAGTGTATGTATACACTTGTTGAGCTAGTGTGTGAGTAGAGTGTGTGAAAACTAGTGTCTACTTCTGTGACAAGGGTGTGTGCAGAGAGTGAGACAACTGAGTGTGTAATAGCTTGCTTGCAGCTAATGGATGATTGAATTGGCATTGGCCAAGAACCAATGTTTTCCTTGATTAAGAGGGTTTCCTTGTAAATTCTGTTGCAGTTTTTATTGCTTGCTATTTTGATTGATATTTAGTTGTTCAAGAAAGAAGGTTTTGACCAATTCAGCCCCCCTCTTGGTCCAGCAATTGGTATCAGAGTTTTGGTCTGTTGTGTAGGGTTCTAGCAAGCCTGCAGTTGATCTTTGAAATGGATGAAGGCCAAGCTACAAACAAAGCTCTAGGGTTCAGTGGTGTGAACTATGATTCATGGAAAATCAGAATGGAAGCATTCTTAATGTCTCACTTTTATGATGTTTGGTATGCTGCAGTAAATGGAATTGTGGTTCTTAATCCTGAAAATCCCTCTGAAGCTGATAAAATTGTTGTGGCTAATGATGGTAAAGCCAAACATGTCATTTACTGTGCTTTAAAGCAACAAGAGTTAACTAGAGTCAAGAATTGCAAGTCTGCTAAAGAAATGTGGGACTCTCTTCAGGCTGCCCATGAAGGAAGTACTGTCATTAAAGAAAACAAGATTCAGCTCTACAAAGTTCAATATGAAGCTTGTAAGATGGAGGAAAGGGAAACTATAGCTGAGTATTTATTTAGGATCAATGATATTGTCAACAATATGAAATCCCTTGGTGAAGACATTAAGGACTCAGATGTTTGCAAGAAAATTCTCAGGTCTCTTACACCTAGATTCAATGCAAAGGTTACAATCCTTGAGGATAAAGACTTATCTCAAATGAAGATTGATGATCTACAAGCTTCTCTTACAGCCTATGAGATGAGAATTGGAACTCTTACTCTTCAAAGAAGAGAAGCTGCACTTAAAGTCAAAGAAGGTACTGAAAAATCTGATCCGAAGTCTGAGGAAGCTGATCTTGAAGAGGATGAAGTGGCCTATCTGTCAAAGAAGTTCAAGAAATTTAGATTTAAGAAGAGAAGTCAATCTCAAAATCTAACTTGTTATGGATGTGGCAAGCCTAGCCATTATGTCTCAAGTTGTCCAACTTTAAAAGGACAAAATCAGAGGAAGAAAGAAGGGGGAAACTTCAAGGGAAGATTTGGAAGAAAGGCCCTCTTCACAGATTGGGATTCTGTTTCTGAAGAAGACAAACCTGAGGAATCAAAAGAAGATGAGTGTTTGTTTATGACTACTCTTGAAACACCACAGAAAGCAGCTGAAGTTGAAGAAGACAGTGAAGACAGTGACTCAGAGATTGAAGAAATTCTTGAAGAATGTGAGAGACTTGCTGTGAAGTGCAATCAACAAAAGTCTCAGCTAAAAGTCCTTAGCTCTGAGTTGCAAAAATCCAAACAACTTCTTGTTAAACATTTCAAACTTAAGCTGTCTACCTTATGTTCAATTTCTCTTATCTTCTCAAGTCTAAAGAAGTCTTAATCCAACACTGAATGGTTAACCAAGAGATGTAGAGAAGAACTCTCACTAATTCTTGAAGAAAGATCTTTGAAAATGGCTGAGATTTGGAAGCAATCCACAAAGCAAATTAGGAAGACTGGAATTGGTTACATTTGTGATTCTGCAACCAAAGTGAAACAAAATCACACTATGTTTGTTAAGGCATCTTCAGGAGAAGTGTATGCAAGATTTCCATTCATAAAACCCTCAAGAATAAAGCATGATTCATTTGACAACTTCTGCAGCAAGTCAAGGTTAAATGAAAGTGATTTTATTATATCAACCTTCAGGAATTACAAAATTACCAAAATGTATGTAAAGAAGTCAAATATAATTCCAATTCAGAAAGTTAAGGATAGCAGATCTCTTATGAAGTCTAAGATGATGTGGATACCAAAGAGAATGAATGCTGTGAGTATGTTGGTGTATACTGCCTTCAAAGCTGGTAACACAAATGACAAATGGTATGTTGACAGTGGCTGCTCGAGACACATGACAGGTGATGGTTCCAAGTTTGTATCACTAAAGAACTTTGATGGAGGAAATGTCATCTTTGGAGACAATCAAAAGGCCAAGATTATTGGTATTGGCACTGTGAGTAAGTCTGATGAACTACCTGAGATAAAAGAGGTATTACTTATTGAAGGCCTCAAACATAATTTCTTAAGTGTAAGCCAACTATGTGACAATGGGAAAAAAGTCTATTTTGATAAAGAAAGATGCAATATGGTTGATATTGAATCTGAAAAAGTCCTATTCTCAGCTTGCAGATCCTCTGGAAATGTATACACAGTCTCAGAAGAAGCTACTTACTGCAATTTGACCTCTCTAGATGAAGCTATACTGTGGCATAAGAGACTAGGTCATCTTCACTACAAAAATCTAATCAAAATACTGAAATTGAAAGCTGTGAAAGGTCTACCTGATTTAAAATTCAGTGACAATCATCTATGCAAAGCATGTCATCAAGGCAAACAAACTAAAGTGTCATTCCCTTCCAAAGAAATCAACACATCCAGAGCTCTTGATCTGATACATATGGATCTCTGTGGTCCTACCAGAACTACAAGCATTGGTGGAAGTAAGTACTTTATGTTGCTCATTGATGATTTTAGTAGAATGGTGTGGGTTTACTTTCTGAGAGAAAAGTCTGAAGCTATAACACACTTCATTAAGTTTGTAAATCTTGTTGAAAATGAAAGAAGCTGTACTGTGAAGAAGCTTAGATCTGACTTTGGTTCTGAATTTACAATGAGGGAATTTGAAAGTTACTATGATGTAAAAGGTATCAAGAAAGAATTCTCAGCTGTAGCTACTCCTCAACAAAATAGGGCTGTGGAAAGGAAGAATATAATTGTTCAAGAAATGGGAAGAACTATGTTACTTGAAAAAGGTCTTGCAAAGGGATTTTGGGCTGAAGCTGTTAATACAACTGTGTATATCATCAACAGGGTGCTTCTTAGACCAAATTCATGTAAAACTCCTTTTGAACTATGGTATGGAAGACCTGTAACAATTCATTATTTTAAAGTGTTTGGCAGTAAGTGTTTCATTCTTAATCACATAGAGAACTTAGGAAATTTTGATTCCAAGGCTGATGAAGGGATATTCTTAGGGTACTCTACAAAAAGCAAGGCTTACACATGCTACAATCTAAGATCCTCCAAGGTTATTGAATCAATTCATGTTAAATTTGATGAAACACCACAGTTCAGCATCAATGATGACATCAATTTTACATCAGGATCAACTGAAGCCAGTCTATTGATCGGTTGATCAACTAACATCAACCTTCGCAATAGCACGAATCATTGTAAAATAGGGCTATTGGTCGGGTAAGTCGAACCACTGGGACTGCGCTAGTCTAAGGCAACCTAAGTGTTTAGAGTCATTCTTAGGATGATGAAGGGGTGTTCATAGAGGTTGTGTTTGTTGTCACTTAACTACAAATTCAGAATGCATACAACAATAAATTGAAGGAGATTAAAAGAGAAGATTTAGAGAAGGAAGTCTAGGGAAGTGAATCCACTCCAAACCTCTACACAAGCTAATTATATGATTGATTTGGGGAATTAATGTAGGAATGACCTTGATGAATAGCAATTCATGACTACTATATCATCTTCAAGAAATTCAATTAATTAAAATGTAAGAACAACCTATCAAAGCTCCACATGCTTAAATTACCTAAACTATGGTGCAATCCTCAACATGCTCACTAAGCTAGAGATTGTCAAACAAGTAATCAATTGATGAGAGCAAATGATAACAAGTCACAAGGTTAATCCATCAAAAGAAATTCTTAAGCAATGAATTAACAAGCTACTCAAAATCATGCCATTAAAACCATTCCATAGTCTTAGCTCCATTGTCACTATGAAACTACAAGCCATACAACCATGAGATTAAATCATCTAAGACAAGAGTATTTAATGCAACATGATCTTTAGAACATTAAAACATCCATTACATTATGTAACATGCTCTAGATTATGGAACTAGTCAAATACACATTTCATTCCCCAAAATAAATCAAAAACTAGACATGCTTACAAGGAGGAGTTTCATCACCTCCCTAGATGGAGGTTTAGTTATCCATGGATACAAAAATGGAAGAAGAAGAAGAAGACTCCATCTCCATTTTCGAGCTCCTACTGTAGCACTCAAGAACACCCTCCTCCTTGCTCTCTTCTCTCTCCTCTATCTTGCTAAAAATAAAAAGATAAAAAGATGTGTGGCCTTTGGTAGCTTTTTATTCTCCAACAACACCCTCTCTCTCTCCTCCAAGGAACACCTCCAACCACTTCATAAAGAAGGAAGATGGCATTGAGGAAACCAATGTGCAAGTGGCTGAAATTGAGCCATTTCCGAGTGCAATCTGCCTGATTTTCGAGCACTCGCAAAGTGATCTCGAGCACTCTAACTTAGTGCAATGTGCAACATGCTCCTCTTGCTCAGCGCTGACCTGTTTTGGTAAAACTGATATAACTTTGTGCCCCGAACTCCGAATGATGATCTGTTTGAAGATTTGGAGAGCTGATTCAGTGATTTAAAAACTTCATGTTTTGATGAAGACCCAATTATCAAGTCTAGTTGGTCGAAAATGAAGATCAAGGCAGAATTGCATTGCTGCCAGGCAGTTCTGCGCATCTCTGGTAACAAGGCCATAACTCTCTGCTCCAAGCTCCAAATGACAAACCGTTTGAAGATTTGGAAAGCTGATTCAGAGCTCTAAATCTTTTATGTTATGAGGGAAGTCCAGTTCTTGAGTTTTCTACGTCGAAAATGGCGACAAAAGTCAGGATCACTGCTGCCAGAAATTCAGAAATGGCATCCTTTTTGTTCAAAATTCCACAAGGCATCATTTTTGCTTCCTTTTTGCACTTTAACCTGAAAATGCATAAAAACATGCAAATGGAGTTAATCTACATAAAATAATCAATTAATGGACTTTGTTACTGTACTTTAGGGCGCTTGAATATACAGTATTCAGCGCTTATCATCCATCTCATTCTGTTCAAGGGTTAGATAAATCTGTTAAAGCTACTTTAGAACTTGATGATCATAGAGAAGTTACTTATCCAGGATTACAAAAATAGGTTCAAGCTGAAAACATTATTGGTTCTCCTCAGGCTGGTGTTCAAACAAGAAACAAGAAGAAACTCACTGAATTAAAAACTGATGATGGAGAAGAATACAGTCATTTTGCAATGCTATCCTCTATTGAACCAAAGTCTTACTCTGAAGCACAGAAAAGTGAAGATTAGATGGTTGCTATGAAAGAAGAACTTGATCAAATTCACAGGAATGACACTTGGACACTGGTTCCTAGACCTGCAGCTAAGAATGTTATTGGTTCCAAACGGATTTACAGAAACAAACTTGATGAAAAAGGGACAGTTATCAGAAACAAGGCTAGATTGGTGTGTAAAGGATACTCTCAACAAGCTGGTATTGACTATGATGAAACCTTTGGCCCAATTGCTAGGATAGAATCCATTAGAATATTCTTGTCCTTTGCTTGTCACAAGCAAGTCAAAGTGTATCAAATGGATGTTAAGTCTGCCTTTTTGAATGGAGAGTTAAATGAAGAAGTATACTTGGAACAACCTGAAGGTTTTGAAGATCCCAGGTCTCCCTCCTATGTTTTCAAGCTAAACAAGGCCTTGTATGGTCTCAAACAGGCTCCCAGGGCTTGGTATGAAAAATTGCATTAGTTCTTAATTGAACAAGGTTTTTATAGAGGAAAAGTGGATAGTACTCTTTATGTCAAGCTTCATCAGAATCAATTTCTTATTCTTCAAGTCTATGTTGATGACATTATGTTTTGTGGCTCCAATACATCTTTAGCATCAGAGTTTGCCAATTTGATGAAAACCAGATTTGAAATGTCTCTTTTGGGTACTCTTAGATACTTCTTAGGTCTTCAAATTCATCAAACCTCTAAAGGAATCTTCATCTCTTAATAGAAATATGCCTCTAAGTTGCTTACAAAATTCAATATGACTGAGTGCAAACTTGTATCAACTCCCTTATGTCCTAATTCCAAGTTGTCTCTTGAATGTACCACAGAATTAGTTCCCTCTACTCTTTATAGGTCTATCATTGGCAGTCTTTTGTATCTCATAGCTTCAAGACCTGATATCATGTATTCTGTGGGGTTGGTAGTAAGATTTCAAAGTAATCCTAGACTCTCTCATCTTTAGGCTGCTAAAAGGATTCTAAGATATGTCAAGGGTACTCTTTCTTATGGTCTACATTATGTCTTCTCATCCACATTGCCTATCACAGCTTTCTCAGATGCTGATTGGGGTAGATCCTTACCTGACAGAAAAAGTATATCAGGCTGTTGCTATCTCCTTGGTTCCAACTTAGTTTCTTGGTTAAGTAAGAAGCAGGATACTGTCTCTCTATCTACCTCAGAAGCTGAATACATAGCTACTTCTCAGGCTGGTTCTCAACTTTTCTGGATGCACATTACT